AGAATATTCTGGATCTAAGCCACTGAGCTGGCAAAGGATTCAGTCTAACCCCTGCCCAAGCGTTGATTATAACGCACATTTTAAAACAAGCTGCCATTGGGATCCTTCCTCATGACTTCTCTGTCCCGTCAGCAGCCAGAGAAGGTGCACATGCAAAGTCTTCACAACATGTCAGAGGAACAATCGAGGACTGATTCTAGATCCGACGAAGATACACTTTGCAGGAAAAAGTGTTGGATATTTGGGGGGGGGCGGTGGGCAACAGTCAAAGACGTTTGTATCTTTCATCTCGTGGTGTCGTGCTATCAGAAGTTCTCAGAAAAAGATCCCTGGGTTTGAGAATGGCAAGAGAAACCCTCTTGCACCATATGATATCCCGCTTCCCACTTAGGTATCCAGAGAAAATCTAACACTCAGACACCATCCTGAAACGAATCTTCAATCTACAGCATTTTAGAGTTACACTAAGTCTTCTTGGGACCGAACTTCCAAATCTAGATGTAAACCAGCTTCAGGATCCCGACCATAAACTCCAACATTGAAGCCCAAATCTACAGGCCTTTCGCGACCAGGGCGGCGAGCCTGCCGAACTTGCTGCTTCCAACTTATGAGCGAATCAACAAGGCAATGCATTGTTCCGGATGATAGAGGACGTCAACAGAAACAAGAGGAGCTCAAGAAGGAGGATGACATGAACGGACCAAGACAACAGGGCCGTGCTGAAGTCAACTCTAAGCTCACCGGGCAAACTAATGAGTTGCCATCTGAACCCCGGCTGCAAGAACCACCACGTCACTTCCTGGGCTTGCGTTACTTCGCGCAGCGCCAAATCCGGAGCATGAGGTTGAAACCCTTCAGTATTGTCAGTAATTAGGATAATAAACACTTCGCAGAAATCCAAAGCCTAAACCTCATACACTCCAGCAGGAAGAATGTGGTGCCCTGCGGGCACCGCGCAGGAACAACAGTTGTCTTTATCCTGAATGCACGAAACTTGCAGTGTCAGCACAGTGCTTGGGCAGGCACCTGAAAATGTGAGCCTGAAAGCCTTAAACCTTCTCCAATTGAGGGAGCCGAGGGCACGGCCAGCTCCAAGAGGCTCGCAGAGCTCACACTCTCGGGCCCCTCCACATGTTGTTTTGTTGAAGTTTGCAAGGGAAGCAAACCCATGAATGATCTTCAAACGATTGGAATCCACAAGGATCTTCCTGGAACTATCGAGGTACATTGGGGATAGGTGGATCGTGCAATGGTTGCAGGAATTTTCCAAGGGTTGCAGGGGTAGCAGCAAATTCGTGTAAAGTAAGGGCTCTCAAAACATGTGGATCAAAAGATGAAGACCTCAGGGGGTAGGGCTGCACTGATTCTTGGCTTACTGGTCGTTTCAGGGCCTGTTATTGCGTGGAGCTTTCAAAGTGTCCGGGTCCGGTGCACTCACATTCCAGGAACAACAACAAAACCGTCACCATCGATTGTGGTCAGAGTATTGTGAGCACAGGCTGGCCATGATGACTTATGGATACTGGCAGGACCGATTTTTTCAAAAAAAAAAGGTACTTTGAAGAGAAGTCGCGATCAAGACATAACATCGTCACGACATCGCGCTGATAGTCTGATAAGTGGAATGAAGCGTAACTCGCCACAAGGCATGAAACTTTGGTGTTTTTCAAGTAAGCTGAAGGCCAGGAATCACTGAATTCGGGAGTTCAACAACAACATAAATTGAGATTTGAGCTTTGTGGGTCAAGGATTCAAGGTTGAGGGCTTCAGGTTCTGGGCTTGCGGTTTGTGGGGGTGATTATCGAACGTGTTCATTAAAGACAGCTCTTCTCATTCTGACACCCTGCACGACCTTCCGCAGGCGGTTTGTCCGAGAGCTTTTGGGCAGACGTGCTTACCTTCACCTCACGGATACTGCCCGCTGCGCTAACTCCAACGCCATCATTTTCGTTTAGATCCACTGGGTCTCAAGCTCACCCCTCTCAACCCCTGGCATCACACACCCCGAACAGCTTGAGCCATCTAATCGAATCATTCAAAAGGGAGATCTGTAGGAAATCAGGACACGAGCAACACATTGGAATATGGGCCTTCCACACCTCAAACACCTCAACCCTGAAAACTCTCAAAGCCCCTCAAAAAAGAAACCGTGTTGAAGCACTCTTGGGCTGCCAACATAGCCAAAAGCCACGTCGAGTGGCAGCAGTAGTAGTAGCAGGACCTTTGCAGAAATCCTACCTCATGCTTGGGTGTGTCATGGGAACCTATATCTTTATCTTTAGCCTGAATGTCTTGCCCCGTAGAAGTGATTCAGTCGCCGCAGTCATCTGCGTTGTGCAGGGACTTGACCCCAAAGACGAAGGTCTCAAGACAACCTTCCGAAGGATCCAACAAATGGAGCCAGCAAAGTGACCACCATGCTTCGATTTCATTACTCTTCAACACCGGAGCAAGTTCTGGAGCACGGGTAGGTAAGACATCTGCCATACTGCTTCAGGTGAACCCTTCTGGGAGGGACCCATAACTAGCATCCGAAGTAGAAGACCACTGGCTGCTGCGTGGTCTAGTGGCATGATTCTCGCTTCGGGTGCGAGAGGTCCCGGATTCAATTCCCGACCCACAGCATAGCTTGCAGTCTCCCAGTCCCAATCGTCCTACTCAGTACAATCATGTATAAACCTCAGCACGGTGCAAGCAAGGAACTTTACAGCACTTTGGATGTCCAAACTGCAGCTGGGGAAATCACACAAGGCACTGCAAGAGTTTCTCCTTCACCAAAAACTTTCCTTTCATCATGTGCTCATGTAAGGAACAGACCGACGCCCCCTGATCAGAAACGGAATTGCTCCCATGTGAGCTACTGTTGTCGAGGGGTCACGTGAAAAAACTTCTACAGGCCAGAAGACAAGCGAAAATCAAAATAGAGATTCGTAACTGCAATCCTTAATCAGGAAATACAAAAATTGCAGCAAAACTAACAGCTGCAACGACACGAAAAGGAATAAAAGAGCCGCAACTTATGACGTAGTATTTCTGTAGTGCAATAATGATTTTTGTGAGTCTTTGGTAGTTTAGGCTTATCGAGGCATGGCGTAGCTTCCCATGAAAACACCAGCGGTGGTCAACCGGCTTAGTCTTGGTTTTTGTGCCAGTTTTGCCAGATGAAGCAACATGCTTCTCTGAGGCTGCTCCTGTTCAGCCTTTGAGGGAAAAAGCCGAATTTGGTGGGTCTTCCACTTCATGCCAGGTGCTGACGCGATGTTCTTCTCAAATGTACGGTCATTCAGCGTGATTGCCCGCGTGGGAACACGACCTCATCGACTTGTGATGATTCGGCCAGCATCACCTGCGGTCCTTGTTTGGCGTGGGGTTTGGGAGGGATAGGAGGACAACAGCCACTTGTCCTGGAAGCTCCAGCATGACTACCGCTGAGGGCACCCGAAAACTTACAGCGCCCCAGAGGAGATCCCAGTGACAAGCCCCCAATCTTTGCGCGCCTGAATTTGACGGAGGGGCTCAGCTTGTTGGGTTGAATACAATGTGTCCGAAGCAGGCACACACCCTCCACTTGCTGCTATGCTCCGATGGTGGCATGCAGACCTTTTTTTGAATCAGTTGACTGGCGGGCTCTCGGGCACTTTCTTACAGGAGGAAAGATTGCCATCCGCAGTTGGGTTATCAGGGCACCCTCGCCAACACACAGAGAAGATTGCTGGGTGGTATACATTTCTGCGTGCAAGACGGACACTTTGAATGCTGGTTGCCCAGTCCTGCTGATTAACATCAAGGCCACGGACACAAATAAGCAAGTTATCTCCATGATCGGCTCTGCTTGACTTTCGCAGCTGGTATGCTGACATGGGTGACGACATTCACAGGCAAGATCTTCACATGGATGTGAGGGCCTCGGCGTTTTCGACCACATCCAGGCATCTCATAATTTCAAGGGGAGTTTCATCTGGAGATGCGACGTGGAAGCATTTGCTAGCAGCCCGAGGGGTTCATTGCAGTGTGAGTGCCAATGAGTTGGTAGCCTAAGCCTCCGTGGTAGCTCGTGGGCTTGACTTTCCTGATTTGGCTTTTGATTTCGGAGATGCTGCACCCTTCTGGCTTTCCGCTCGCCTTGGATCTACATTTCCCTCGTTCACAACACTGATCTCCTTTTTTTGTGTTCACTTGTGCTGGTTTTTCTGATTGGCAGTTCCCTCTTCTGGTCTGGATTTGCAAAGCGGCCTTCCTGGTCTAGGTTGACCAGTCACCCCCTCCTCCAAAAATGTTAATGAAGAGAGCCGAAAGGACATTGACCCATCAGGAGAAAACGTAAAAAGGTGGAATCTGCTGTCATAAAGGCGCTGACTTACCATTGAAGTGGAAGATGTCATTGGTCCTTTTCTTAGCGCTAGATGGAGCACGGATCAGCATATTTGATAAACTTGAGATATTTGGCATGATCATGGTAAGTATATGTATGTGCATCATTCAGAATAATTATGATTTCATTTCAAGCCGCCCAAGACCAATCTGAAGTAAGGCCGCTACAGGCGTCATTGGAGCCATGCGTCAAGGGTCTGCATGGAAAGTACGTTGAAGTTTAAGGGAGGGACTTGAGCCACTTGTCGAGGCCGGCGAGAAGGTATGCTGAAGCATCTACGTAGACAACGTGTGGGTACCGTGATCGTAGGACGAGAGGCAGTTCAAACTAATGTAGGTGGTATTCTTGCGAGGGCTGCAATTGCAAGGGTTGAACTAGCTGTAGTCAAATGCCCCCTGAATTCCTGATGAAAAGGGTCCACATAGGTCAGAAAAAATGTTCACTTCTACTTCGGGCTACATCTTCTGAGGCTCGGGCAATCACACTGTACCCAATTGAGCAACTGCAGCTACAAGCAACTGATCTTCGCATACGTCCTCAAACCCTGAAGCTCAGAAGCTCTGAAGCTAGAAAGCTAGTTGGCGCATCTTTTGCAACTCAGCTTGGCTCCTAGAAATCGATTTGGCTTTCAGTAGCCCGCCAGTTCCTGCAACGAGTCCAGCAGTCCGCGGTTTGGGGGGCTGGACGCTTTTCTGGGAGCTTCCCGGCTACCCGCATCTCAAGCTAGAAAGGTTGTAAGATATACCTTAGCCTTCACAGGATGTTCAGACCTCGTGGCATTTCCAATCGAATCAACCTTTACCATGAGTCACCATGAGGGTCACGGACATGTCAACACCAGCTGAAAAGCCTGAGGTCCTTGAAATCCACAAGCGAAGCTGAGGCTATGCATCCCTGGGACCTCCTGATGACCCACCTTATTTCAGTCCTTTGCTTTGGGATGTGCCTGTTGGATTGGGGTCTCACACCAAACCCTGTTGCTCAGCAGGTTCTATGGAGGCTTGGAGGCTTGTCGTCGGCCCGAGGCTTTGCAAACGAGTTTGGTGTTGGTGGGGATTACCTGTACCCAGCTTTCTTTGGGATCTCTCTGCCTCGCAGCACGCATTTCATTCCTCAGCTGTTGGATGTAGATGTAGAATTGTAAGATGTATGTATGTTCCAGGTCTCCTTTTTGGTCTTCATGCCATCCTATGTCCTCATTGTCCCCAAGCACCATATGGCTCTGAATCTATACATCGAGCAAAATGTGGCAACCGAAACCGGCACCCCAAAGCCAAAACAGTCTGCAGAGAGACCTTCGTCGACCGATTTCGCTTTGCAACCTCCGCTACCCAAAGTCCAAACATGTTTTTGCATCGGGTTTGTCAAGGGCACCCTCAGGTGGGTAGCTAACAGGTGGGTCGCCCCATAAAAGGCTCAGTAGTAATTCACTTGCTGTTGATGGACGAACCCTAGACCTACCACAGCTAGCGCAGCGCTCCAAGGAAAGCTGGCAGCACTGGGGATGCAAAAAGCCCAGCCGAAACTAAGAAAAGCAACGGTGCCAAAACTTGTTCTGTAACCCGAAAATCATGCTCAAACAGCGCGCAAGCGTCAGAAAGGATGTTACTGCGAATGGTCAATCTTAGCCCCGTTCCTCGCACGCAACCACCTTATAGCAAAGCCCCAACCACAGGTCTTAAGTCCATAAATCCTGCATGCCAAAAATCCTTCATCCTCAAATTCAGGAAAACCCACCAAATGGTAGTTGTCAACCGAGTACGGCTAAAGCAGGGCTAGATAGACCGCACACAGCCCCATTAACCTTGGCCGGGGCCTGTTCTGGGCTCTTTCGGGGAGGGGCCTCCTCTCATAGGAGACTCATCCCTTGAAAACTCAGAGTTTGAGAAGCAACACTCACATTCCACCAACACCCTGTCCCTCAATCCAACAATTACTGCTCACTCTTCCTCTGACTACAGCCCCTTACGCGCAAGAACAGCTGAGCCTGGCTACACAATAAACCAACATAAGAAGAAGAAGAAGAAGAACAAGATAAGGCTGCAAATGAAATCTAGAGACCTAGACTTTCCCTTTCATATTTGGGATATCGCAGGCGAGGTCTACCTCAAGGGTGGGCTTTTGGATTTTGACTCCGGATCGACTGTCCAAATATTAGCAGACAGCATCTCACTAGGGCTCGCGCCATGTGTACCAGGACTTTCCTTGCATGATAGGCGCAGGCACTGTCACTCCAACATATCCAAGCTCTGAAGCATCCCCAAAGAACAGGATTAAGGTCCCCTGCATCTTGCATCTACCCAATAGACTGAAAGTGTGCAAGGCAACGGACGGCCTCAGTCAAAGAAATCAAACCAGAGATTCGCATGTCCCTACACCCTGAAACCTAAGATCTATATCAGTCTATATCCTTTGTGACAGGGCCGGGACGAAGGGGCTGTAGAGTGTAGAGCTGTGGAGGTTCACAGAAAGCTTTAGCTTACTCATCTTGCAAGAGCTGACAACAGAGAGCTGAATCTCTTCCCTTGTAGATGACGGCTTTGCAACGTGGTCTATACAGAGGTTGAGTCTTCTAAAGGATTCACAGGGATGCCGTCTCCAGCTCTCCGCTACGAATCAAAAAGCCTTTCACACAAAGAATGCCATGCTTTTCACGGAAAGCAGGACCATCTGTTTGTGGGTGGGCGATTCCGCAGCTGTCAAGCCCAAACACCAGAATCGTTAAAGAGGAGTCATCTAGTCAAGGGAAGGAAAATATGTTAAGTACCTTCCAGGCACACCTGAACATGAGCCCCTTGCGGCTGTCCGAACCGTCGAGCAAGAATCCGCAAGAAAGCCACAGCAAGGATCGCGGTGAATAAAGAGGCCAGCCGGAACTGGACTGCAAATTGGGCTCATTTCCGCCGCAAGCGGCACGCAGCCAGCGGCTCTTAACCAGAAAGAAACAAACCCGATGCTTGGACATTCCCATGTATATGTTTGCTCGACCCATCAAGTCATGCCAAGCTTCTGCTCAGTCGATGTCATGTAGCGCCAGCCTTTTTGGAAGCCTTGTGCTTCAAATGTTGAATGATACTGAGTGCTTGAAGCTTTTAAAGTCTTTTGGGCGGACCCGCGCGGGGTCAGAGTTTGGGTTGAAGACCAGCCGCAGTCTAAAGGCTTCGTACGCAGTCGGAGATGCTGCAATTGACCTACGATGGGTTCTGTACTGTATAAACGAGTAGATGCTGTAATAGCAATGCTGGTTCCTGACAGCGGTCGCCCAAAGTGGGGGGTGGGGTGAGAAAATCTGCCCTCGCGGGGTGTCTAAATAACAACTGACCAGCCTCATCACATCTGGCCTCTGGGAGCGGTTGTGACTTTATGAAAGACATAGAAAAACTCTACTTCTAAAGGGAAGCAGCGAGGAGAAGCGCGCACTTGTGATTAGAAATGCCTAGTGAAGTGTTGACTGCACATCCTGTGATCCTTGCACAATGCTTTTTACCTACTAACCCCCACATATGCACTCGTTCACGCAACCCTGCATATAACAAAAAGATCACAGCCCACACCCAGCTGCCCACAACCTGGCACTCCAGAGACACCATGATCATTTCGACCCTCGGAGGACACCGGAGAATCTTTTCCTTCAGCCTTTGAGCGGCTAATTTAGCCCTGGTTCAGGCCCAGCTGCCGTGTGCACTGCCGCCCGAGTAGCCGGCCTGAAGGTTCGGTACAGGTTTGAGGATTCAGGCTTCGGGCTGAGATTCTGTGTCACTTAGAGCTTAGGCCCCCAGATGGTATGCTGCCCATGGCTTTTGGCTCAGGGGGGCTGCGATGATTCACATGTGTCTGTCAGCTTGCCTGAGTCTAAGATTGTCTGGAGCGGAGGGATGCAAGAGGTCTGGGTACAAGACGGGATTCTATAGATCCACAGCTCAAGCCCGAATTGATCTCTGAGATTGTGCTGTCAGGGAAGGGTCCTTCCATACGAGCCCCATTTGTTCTATGAAGTCCCCAAAGGCAGGCCACAGTGCAAGAGGATCATCCAACATCTCACGTTGTTTGGGGAACACCGCTGCCCACTGTACATCTGGAACCTTGAGCCCCGAACCCTGAAAATCCTAACACCTTTAGCCCCGCACACGTGGCTTTATGCCTCAACATAAGTGAGGTAAGCGAAGGTCGTGGATCCATCGCCTGGGGCATCCAGGGAGATGTCTCCCAAAGGACACGGGAGAATGAACGTAGGAACCTACGATTTGGAGTCGGCGGACTACGGTTCCAGTGTTTAGTACATGAAGGGGCGACTGACTTTAGTGTAGGTCATGAAGAGATACAGTGTTCATTCATACTTGCGGTCGACACAATGGGAGATGGGGCAACAGCCTTACACATGCTTAAACAAGCCTTCTCTTACTAGGCACACAAACTATCTCGCGCCGATCTCTCTCAGAGTCGTGGTATAGCCGGAGCAAAGAGTCTTGTCATGTCAATTTGCTCTCATTAGGGTGAGATCGGGATTTAAAGGTTGGTTATGCTGGAAATCGGGACAAACTGTAATTTCAGAACTCCATTTGTTATGACAAACTCGATGTTAGGCTAGCTCGGTAGCTCCACACACGGACTATACATGTCCGCTATGCGTGCCTTCTCAGGGATGAATGAGGCTTGCCTCACATGCTTGTGGAATGATAATTCAACATGTATTGTCTGCTTGGGATTCGGAGTGAGCGAGCAGCCTTTGAGCCCCGCACGTCGCAGCATTAGAGGCCCGCCCTCGGCGTCAATGATGACCTCTTCCTCCTTTACAGGCCGGGTCTTGTCTGGGACGTTGTACGCAGCTAAATATCCACTACGGTGTTTGGGGTTTAGGGCCGTTCTACTTGAGCCTTTGAGGGGAACCACTTACAATAACACAGAACCATTGTTCTCGGGCACAAGGGTGGGACTCTTATCTGGACATACCAATCTCAATCCAGCAATCTTTCACTAAGCCCTTCTGCACGAGCACCCGACAAAGGGGATGCGTCATGTGTAAGCATTCCAAAGATTCTTTGAGAAATGTTGCAGAGTATGCAGGACGTGTTTTGGAAACTACCACATCACATGGCAACGTTCGAAAGAAATGACAACATATTGGCTTCGGGCTGGAAAACTGGCCCTGCCAGGGCTTCCTAATCGCAAGTCCTCCTAATTCAATCTGTGGGGCCTGGTCACTTCAGGGCCTCTGCCGTTTTCTGTGACTCGTATGATTTGCTGCTGGGGCCAAACTCTGCTTGGCAGCTGCAATTGCATATAGGCTGGCCTTTCTGGATCTGCAGGGTGTTCTAGATGTGACCTGTGCCTCAGGTTCTGGCAAATGCTGCCGAAGAGATCTTCTTCCAGTTTGCAGCCTTGAATCTGATCCTTGGGCTCGCTGCTCCGGTTGTTGAGTAGGAGATCCGGGGAGGGGGGGGCCGCATTCAGGTTCAGAGACTCTGCAAGTTACGTCTTCGTCTTTGAGAACAGACGTACGCAACTGAGCTGTAGTGCTGCTGTCGATTTCTTTGCAGGATGAAGGTGCTTCCCTCTTACCTTCAGCGAAACGTTTTCGTCAGGATTTTGGTACTTGCTTCCGCAAGTACGATTCAAATCTTGAACGCGCTTGTCAGTGCTTTGGCGGAGCTTCCACAAACCTCCACCTTTGGACCGGAATCTTTGAATCTGAGATTTTGAAATTGTTCCTCTTCTATCCTACTGGGCATTGACTGAAGCTGACGTGGATATTATGAAGTTGAGGTAGGCTCGCAACGGATTGCCAAGGAGGTCACATGGGTGTTCATGGGTTGTGATGGGATTTGAACAGGATCCCAATAGATTTCTGCTGGAATTTGCATGGGATCTTGAGGCGATGAAAGTTATCATAGGCAACGAGGGTCGAGTGTTCAACTTCGGGGAACACGGCCAAAAGTTCTTCCCCGGCCTCAGACGATACGCGGCTACGGCTGATAATCTTACATTACATGCTGTGTTGGCAAATACTCTTCCGTAAATTCAGATTCCGCGAAGCCTTCCGAGCGCACAGAAAAACGGTTGTTGGTTTGCAATTCGCGTTGATCTGGTGCGCATCCCTTGTACGTCCTCAACAATGAACCTTCCTGGCCGTCGCAAAACATTCGGAGGTATCCTTCAGAGCTGTTGCAGGAATGTTGAAATCGTGATCACTGGCCCTTATGTTACGGTATGCCTCAAGCCCTCCAAGTATTTGACTTTAAGGTTGCTGCTCACCACACTGCAATACGCGGGATCCTTGCCGTTCACCACGACTTTTGTAGATGTCACACCGGCAAACGCGGACCTAGTCACAAATATCAAGCATGGGTTATGCAGCCTGGGAACCAGGTTGTCAAGTACAAAGCTTCAGGTTCCTGCCGCTGGGATCTTTGGGCTGGGGGTTGCGACTCAGCGTTTGAGAGTGTGTTAACTGAGGGTTTACCATCGCCTATCGCCGCCCGCCCCCTTGGCAGCTCCTGGACTCAATGATGATAATCAGGTAAGCGCTCAAACCCTGCGTGCATGAGAAGTAGGGTAAACATTGCTAGAGAGGAACTGATAGGGCTGCTAGGGGGCGGTTATATATAGACTCTGAGACAAACAGCTGCTTGAATGTTCGACCCTTAAAGCGGGCAAGCGCCCATGAATAGGTGAGGTACACGGAACCTTAAGCTCGTACACTCGGGGTTCGGGGTTGGGAAGTTTGAGGGCTGCACACCTTATCTCGGGAAGCTCTGACGCAGCTGTTAACAATGCTGGCCATGAGATTAGATAGTGCGCTCAAATCAGAAACATTCGCGAGTGTTCTACTTCAGTCTTTGCTGCCTGGGCGATCTCTGTCATAGCTGCACTGGGAGCCATACGGAGTACTGGCTGAGTACTAGCTTAATGCTTCCGGGGCTTGGTGGGATACAGTCAGGACAACGGTAATTGCCCCAATTTCGTCTCTGAGTCGCTTCGATGTACCAGAAGGGCGAAGAGAAATTACTAATTTGAACATGGTTTAGGATTTGTGGGATGCTTGGCGCGTGAATAAGGCTTGGACTTGACCCTGGAAGGTTGTCATGTTTTGGTGGCGTTACAAGTTTGATTTAGAATTTCTGCTGAATTGGGAGGTTGAGTTCAGTGGGTTTTAATGCTCAGGAAACGCTCTTCATTGTTGGAGCGGAAGCGCTTGTAATGCAACAGTGTGCACAGACCAATCATCAAATGCGTTGCCAGGAATTATACACACCATTGTTGGTTCCCATGCTCAGATCATATATTTCTTAACGCGATCCAAACCGCTGCCCCGAAGCTGGGAAACTCAGCCAGAACCCAACACCCCGAAAAACAGGGCCCGAATCCATCTGATGATATCCTGCTGACATCAAGTTGACCAGAGTCAAGAACTTTGAGAGCCGAATATTGAACCGCTGCTTGAAGGTTGCGGAACAGCTAGTAGATCGATCTGAATGCCGCTACACGTGTGGGCCAGAAGCCATTTACCTCCGCGTTAAGAAGTCCTCCTAAACAAGCAGAACCTCCCATCCTAAACACCACAAGCACTAAACAGTTGAACTCCCCGAGCCGCTCAAGTCCTGAATCAACTCAGAAACCCAGACCCGGACCTAACCTTAACAAATTGCACGCTCTTGTTTGGGTTGCTTGGGTGCCTGGAGAATACAACACCTAGTCTTTCTTGCATTCTCAAACACAGACAAGGATGGGAACTATCCGCATCCCAGAAATGGCATCATGGACCCCAGCGAGGGCGAGAAGTTTGCCGGGAGTCCCAGGTTTGCGACGGGGCGGTCACTCAGGACCTGCACAGCTCACCACAGATGGGGCACTCCAAAGAGTAAGGCTTTCGGCAAGGCAACCGGCAGAGCGTGTTGGATCAGTAGAAGCAGAGAACAAAACACTCGAGGCAACCGCAAAAGCGAAGCTTGGGCGGGGTTCGGGGGTCAGTGGCCCGGTGCGTGGGGCGGTGGTGGCCGTCGCTGCCGCGGCCGTGGGGCGGCGGTGGCTGTGGGCGGTGGTCTGCGTTTAGGGCTTGTGGCTTGTGTTACCTTCTTAAAAGTCTAAATTCTGAAGGGCATTCGTGAGCGAATCTCAGAAGCAGCATTCGCATGATAGCTGAAGACGGAAGGTGGACCCCCTTCCTATAGCCTCCCTTGCTGTGCGCAGGCATAAGACTTCACATGCTCGTATTCATGAAGAAGATGATGTAGTGCTAGGTGTACGATGCAGGAGCAACAGGCGGGAAATAATACCACGATATACCAGGTCTACCTGGCCTCCAGACTCTGCGCAGGGAAAGTTCCTTTGTTCAAAAAATGGGATTAGTTACTCTATCTACTTTAAGGTGCCTGCATCTCAACCTAAATACCAAAAGGTGTCAACCCTTCCCATAGGCCCAAACTCCTAAAGCACAAATCTCGAGCAGGCAAACCTCACCAGTCGGCGATGAATGTACAAGGGCCATGGCGTTTCTTCAACTCTGAGCTTCTCAAACAGATCCCACATGAATTATATGGCAGATCCTAACTTCGGAATTTTGAAGGCCCCTGTCGCAGATGACTTGGAGGTCATGTTGAGAAACTCGCTCTTCCTCTTTGGGAAGCGTTACGCTTCAGGCGAACGATGAGGGTTGAGAGCTTCATCCATATATCCAAACGAGAAAAAAACGTCTGAAGGCTAGGAAAGATAGGCTTATTTCATCATGTGATTTAAGCCAAACACCAGCAACCATGAAGGCCAGGGCAATGAATGATTGCGTGAGCTTCCTAGGTAACGCCTGGAGTAGGCTCTTCACTTTGTACTGTACGTAAGCAGCTCGTGCCTGGAAAAAGAGAGCATGCGGCCAGCTTTGATCAACGGCGTTGGTCTACCATTTGAACTTCGCAACAGACGATGTCTGGCTATCTGTTGCATCTGGAGTTCTCGATGTTAGCTTTTGTGGAGGAAGGGGCATATACGAACCGACATTTAACTTTCGGGTACATGCCAGCCACCGTCAAACTTTATGTCAAAAGCTCAGCTATTGCAATCAGGCAAGGTTGCGTTGTATCCTGCAAATCCCTGACAGTGTCTTTAGCTAAGGATCACACAGGTGTCTTTTCGAGAGTTATGTATAGTATTCTGCCATACAAAGATTGACCCTCTGTTGGGCTCTGCTATCCCATAAACACCCTACTTCAATTCTGAGCTCACGTGTTTCATCCACCTGCTGCTTTGCTGAAGCTTACGGCAGACAAGGTTTATCCTTTGATGTGCGTGTAAAAGATTCCGGTTCAGCGTGGCTTCGTTCCTTTGCCTCAGGAAAGACCCTCTGTTGAATACCGTCTCGCTGATTTCTCCGCCTGCTACTCCACCAAGCGATCCCCACTTTACCTGTCAGCACTCCTGGGATGCCAGGAGAACCAAGTGAATCATCACAATGACAATGCTGAACAGGACCCAAAAAAATGCGTGCAGTATAGGGATTGCGTGCAAGCTTCAGCTTCCAATAAAATAGAGAGATTTAACCAGTCTGAAAGCTGGACCTGGCCTGACGCACTGAAGCGTCAGCTGTACTAAATCTGCAGCAGAAGCTTAAAACAAGGCTTCTTTCCTAGACACGGAAATCTAAAAAGGTCTTCAACAACTTCAACGACCCCCCTGCACGAAGTTACATTTGCAGAGGGCAGGGACGGTTGAGTGGATAGAGGTCAACCCCTTGTCAGCCACAACCACCCCAGGATTAAACGAGCAAACACCAGACCGCTGTTGTGTAAGGAATGCGCCCGCATGCTTCCCAAGAGTTTAGCACTACGCCAGCAAAGTCTCGAAAGCAAACAACACTGGCGATGATCCTGACTGGGCAACATTCGCGAAGAGCGAGCCTTTTTTTGCCAGATCCCAAACATTAGCATCCTCACCTCGTAAAGACCATCGCAAACGACCACTGATTTGTAGATCGACCCGCCTGCAATCCCCGAAGTAATGGCACGCTCGCGAAAAAGCCCTAGACTATCTGGATTTCCCACAAAGAAAACAGAGCTTGTGAAGAATACCGAGTTCAGCACCTCATCATCGGAGGTGAGGAGCATGTTCTCCTGCAGAAGCCATCAGACCCATGAGGCTTTTCAAATCGATGGCTACGGTCCAGAAGCGAAACTGCCCATGGCAGAGATCCCACAGTAGCTTCTGCATGCTTTTCTGGCTTCCAGACTGAACGGACTGAAGTCAAGGCAACTGGAATAACTGTACAGACGTGTCGAAATACCTTTTCATAAGAGTGAAAGACCTGAATCAAAGATTTGAAGTGCTGACATGTCATGCAGACCATGCACACGACTTTTGCATTTTGGATGATCGCTCAGAGTTTTAGGTGGCCGCGTCTCTTCACGAGGATCCATCTTCCGATCCCCGAAATCATGATACTTTTTTCTGTAAGCATGCCACA